GTACCGGACCGGGGACCGGCAACGGGATTGCAACCCTCGGTGCTGCTCCCGCGCCTAGCTCAGCCAGTGAGCAGGAACCGGTCTGTATGTGGGATCCGAACCCTCGGGCGGGAGCGCCGCCGCGCTTCCCAAGCGGCGCACTATCCAGTGCGCCACCGGGCCGGCCCTACTTGGTGAGTTTTACCTAGCCTACGTTCAACTAAATTTGGCATCGACAAGCCGCTCTCCCATCGGTTCAATATACCAGGTATTTGGTTTATGTCTTCGTTTAGCAAATATTTATCCAACACCTTCTGCTGGCAAAACGCTGGAGTAGAGCTTGTTAAGAAAAAAGTGCAGTGGAGACTGTTTTTTCTAGGTTCATGTTGAGTGATTTGAGAAACCAAACCTGGCAGAGATGTATTCGTAAAAAAATGTGCTGAACAATTTTTGCTATTTGCTAAATGTCTTTAGAGAAAAAAACTTAAGTGTTTGGGCATTTGCATGAGTATATTTGGCTCGTGCTTTTCTGTACTTTATGGTCCCTAATATGATGTTAGGTTTCATAAACACTTGGTAAACAGTGGTTGACAAGTAATCTAATTTTTTTATTCTTATCAGACTTTTCTCAGCTCCACTTTTCCGTGGATTTCTCACTATTCCGTTATATAAGAATAGAGGATATTCATTTGCTCCCCTTTGCAGAACACATGGGGAGAATAGAGGCACAAAATGGTGATGACGGTCTGTCTTCCCTGTAGCAAAGAAAAGGAAAAGGGCTCAGGTTTAAGCGACTGGAATCATTCCTACATGATTCCTGGCGGCAGCAACGCGACATGGTGCGTCTCAGACGACTAGAAGTGAAACCTCATGCTCTGGAAATGCCAGATAATCATTCCTTGGCCTTTGTTGTACGCATCCAGAGGTAGGGAACTGGTGTCTTCCCGATTCTGTGAGGCTGGGGCAAACTGTTGGTTCAGCTTCAGATGCCTTTCTGGGGAAATGGGGAGATAGGAGGCCCTAAGAGCCTAAGGCAAGCTGTGCTAGGAATTCAGTGTTCACAACAGACAGTTTTTGTCTGCAAGGTTGGGGAGACTGACTTAAGCACTTAAGCTATGGGGATAAAGTGCAGGATTGGGGGTGGAGGGTTGTTTTGAGGACACCCACTCTGAAGGCAGGAACTTGAACCTGAGACCTCAAAGACATGAAAGGAGTTCACCAGTGTCAGAGAAGGCTTTCCAGACATACTCCTTTCTGCAAAAGTCCTAAAGTGGGGGAATCGAGGCATCTTTCTATGAACTGAAACAAGGCCAAGTAGATGGAGCATATTCAGCACTGAGGAGACACTTGCCCACTTTTAGTGGTACTTTGCTTACCTATCCCTACCTGCACATACAACTCTGTGCCTCTTGCTATTTCCCTTACCTAATCACCCACACCAGAAAACTGTGGGTTTTCAACATTTATGAGCTTTATTCTCTTTAGCTCTCCTACCACTGTCCATAATCTTTTTCCTGGGCTATTGCATTAGCCTTATGACTGCGTTTCCCTGCCTCTGGTGTCCCACTTTCAGATCTGTCCTATACGCAGCTCTTGGTGATTGTCCGAAAGAAATCTGATCATGTCTCTTTTGCTTAAAATCATCAGTAGATTTTACTGCACTTAGAAGCAAGTCCAGCTTCCTTGGCTGGACATGCATTGTCCTACATATCCCACCCCCACAACACATACAAATTCAGGGTCCATCTTTGTGTTTCCACAGCAGCGCAGGCATTGCTTCACATCACAAGGAAATGATCTGTTTATATAACTGCTTCCTGCTAAACTGAGCTCTTTAAGGCATAGCATATGTCTTACTTTTTGGATAACGAGTGTAGTGGCATGCATTTCATAAGTGCCTGGGCTGACATAACCTGGAGAGAGCCTGACTTTGTTGCTGTTCATTTCAGGATTAATGGGGTGAGTTCACTGGTGCAGAGGACCATTGCAAGACTTCGCCTGAAGAAAATTTTCAGTGGTGTCTTTGTCAAAGTCACCCCTGAAAAGTTGAAAATGCTGCGTATAGTGGAACCTTATGTGACCTGGGGGTGAGTAACATTTTCCGTGTAAATTCACATTATATTATATTTGAGTGTGTTAGGATATACAGGTTATTGTTTTGCAAGGCTAATGTTGCTGTGTAGAAGGAGCATTTTGCTGTGACTACAGTCACCAGAAATCAACTGGTAGCCATAAGAACCTTGGGAAATGGGGTAGGTAAAGGGGGAGGGATCAGAGCTGCTATGTAATGTCTGAACAGTACCACAGCAGAAGTTCAGTTGTAGGCTAAGGCTGAGTAGGATGGGCAAAAGAGAGATTAATTCTCGGAGCCATAAAGGAGAGCTTGGGGGAGTGCTTGTGTAAGAGTAGTTAGTATTCCTGAAATGTTAAAACCCGACAGAATCTTGGATTTAATTCCAGCTCTTGTACCGTCTTGAGTAGAGGGTCACCCAAGGCCAGAGTCCTAGGCTGTAAGCCATGAAATGGTTTCTGTTTTCGTTTGCCTGGTGAATTTTTATATCAATAAGTTTCAATTTTTTTTTTTGTCCTTTTTGAGACCAGCTGCACCGCGCTCAGCCAGTGAGCGCTGTGAGCGCACCGGTCATCCCTATATAGGATCCGAACCTGCGGTGGGAGCCTGCCGCGCTCCCAGTGCCGCACCCTCCCGAGTGCGCCACGGGCTCGACCCCATAAGTTTCAATTTTTGATTACATAGCCAAGGCCACTCCAGTTTTTTATCCCCTCCTTCGTGTATTCCCAAGCATCCCTGCTGGAATGTGATTGCAGAGCACTTCTTTGGGGGAAGGAGTGGGCGGGAGAACCTCTCTAATCTTTTCTCCTCAGTCAGGCTGCAGGACCTCGTGGCCAGTGTAATGTAGTGTGCCAAGTTCTGGCTAAGGCTGTGCTTTATTCTGCTGCACATAGATTTCCAAATCTGAAGTCTGTCCGGGAACTGATCTTGAAACGTGGACAAGCCAAGGTCAAGAATAAGACCATCCCTCTAACGGACAACACAGTGATTGAGGATCACCTGGGTGAGTGGTGCGGCTTAGGGGTCTGTTCGGACAGAGAGCAGAGGTTGCTGGCAGCCTCGATGTGGGATCCAGGTTGTATTCTTAGGGTCCCGAGAACCTGCCAAAATGCCCAGCTCCTGCATATAAGAGCTTCTCAGTGTATGCTGGGTAAACGTTGAATGAGGGAACCTGTGCCCTTATGTTCCTTAGGGCGGTTTGGTGTCATTTGCTTGGAAGACCTCATTCATGAAATTGCCTTCCCGGGGAAGTATTTCCAGGAGATCTCATGTTTCTTGCACCCATTCCAACTCTCAGTGGCCCGTCATGCTACCAAGAATAAAGTGGGCTTTCTCAAGGAGGTGGGCACACCTGGCTATCGGGGTGAACGCATCAATCAACTCATCCGCCAGCTGAACTAGACCCAGGTGAGGCAGGGCTGAAAACTGCCCTGGGGCTGACTGTTGATGGGCCATGCCTTGCCACTTAAAAGCTCTTTTTGGATTTACCAGTGTTTTTGAGAGTAACCTTGAGACTGGGAGGAAAGAGGAGGCTGGTATTTACAAGGCTAATGGATGGAGACCTGCTTGGAACAGTGAATACCTGATGAGGACATGGGACTATGTATTCCTAAGAGTTACAGGCTAGAAAATGTTGAGTGACAAAAAAAATCTTGGTATTCTGTGGTTATTTAGCTGGAAATAGGGGAGAATATTAAAGACTAATTTCAAAAAGGATTTGAAGATCTCAATTGTCTGTTCTGTTAAAGAAATCTTAACTCTTTGAATTTGCTTTTTTTTTTTGCTGTTCTTGTTTTTTAGGTGTCTGCACTCTAACCAATGTTATTACTCTTTGTTGCCAAATTGCAGTTAATTTGTGTTAATGCAGTTATGTTTTTCTTCCTCAGAGTATCTGAAAGCTTTGGAAACATGTGTTTTTGTTTTTGGAATTATCAAGTATCTTCAGAGAAGATTATTTTCTGCTTTATCTTCAAGAACTGGAAGGGAAGGATCAGGGAAAAGATAGTAGGTTTTTTTCATGGCAGTCACCTCTCATCACAGCCCAGTTCCAAGAAAAGTTACAGTGTTTTCCATGTTGCCTTCGCCTTCTCTGAAATCAGCACATACCATGGAGGAAGGATTACTGCTTTGTCTTGTCTTCTATCATGGGGTTTAAAGTTGGTGAATAAATAACCCAAGCATGTGTACAAGATTCCCCCAGACTCCTGCAGCAGTGGACCACACCCAGGGGCATCCTTGAACCTGGGGGTTTCTAGGGTCTTGTTTTCAAAAGACTTGAAATACAATTAGGAAAAAGAACGTAGAGCTGACCAGTTAGCTTGGTTGATTAGAGCGCAGCCTTGTAACACCAAGGTCAAGGGTTCAGTTCCCCATACTGGCCAGTCACTCACAAAAAAAGATAAAGCATAAAATCAAGTGCTCAGTTTTCTCTGCTATGAGTCTGTGTTCCGACTTTTCAGTAATGGCTTTGAGAGCTCTCAGACTTGGCTGGCTCTAAGTATATCTACTGGCTTTTGTATCCTAACCTGCAACTGTCTTCGTCCTTTTCTTTCCCTCAGAATATGAGAAAGGAAGGACCCTTTTGTCAGGAAAACAGGCATATACTCAATTCTGTTTGGAATTTTGGGGCGTTCATAGACCCTTCTCCTTGGACCGCTGCACCTTACGTGAGGAAGTCCTCTTATCAGGATTGGTCAGCCAGATTCTGATCTTGCTAGTCTCTGGGTCCGTGTCTTGTGGAAGACCAAAGCTTACTGAGATAGCTTTTTCCCTTCAAGACAAGTGGATGCTTTCTATTAAGAACACAGTGGCTGATTGTGTTTCCCCTGCATGTCTATAAGTCTGAGAAATAACCACCATTTTCCCCCTGGTTTTGTGATGGAACTTCCTGATTTCCCTAATGTTCAGTCCGCTCCTTAAAATCCAGATCAGGAAGGAGTGAATCATATTCTTGGTTTGGTATGGATGAAAGTAGCACTATTTTAACTTTTTAGGCCCTAGGCAGACAGTATAAACCTTTTCCTTGCATATTCTGGACTCCAAAGTATTGCCTTTTGTCGTGCTGGTAATGACGTAGTAGACCAGCAACAGGGTTTATGGGAATGTTAATACTTGTGTTTTTTAATCAATGTCCACCTCTAAGTGGGCCTTCCCTCTGCTCCCTTCACTTAGATGCCTCAGCTTGCCGTCTAAGTAGTTGGTGAGGATGTGCCAGGCCTAGTTTAAAATTGAAAACGTGCTTAACCATTGGGTTCCCTGGTCTTTTCATATCAGCTTTGTTGCAATTTTGGCTCATGGGGTCCTCAAACATAACTGAAATTGACTTAGAGCTATAACAGTGCCTTAAAATGTGCCAGGTTAGGGCCGACCCATGGCTCACTCGGGAGAGTGCAGTGCTGGTAACACCAAGGCCACAGGTTCGGATCCTATATAGGGATGGCCGGTTAGCTCACTGGTTGAGCATGGTGCTGACAACACCAAGCCAAGGGTTAAGATCCCCTTACCAGTCATCTTTAAAAAAAAAAAAAGTGCCAGTTTATGAGATAATGAATTTGGTTGGCTGGCTCCAGAGCTAACCTGCCAGGAATAGATATTATAGATGTTACTCTTAATACTGTAAAGCATTGTGAAATCAGATTACTTTAAAATGTATCACAAAGTCATGGGGGAAAACCAGTTAGGAGTATGGAAAACCAGGGCCTATATTCCAGATATGTCTTATACTAAATAGGGGAACAGTGTTCTCTTGCCTATTAAGTGGAGCTAGTACCCTCTAGCCTGTCTGCCTCACCTGGTTGTTAAAAGGATTAAGCAAAACAATGGTTTTTTACTTATAATTGTATATAAAGAGGTTAACATAAAAATTATGCACTACTGTATAATGTACCATCATATAACATTCCCTGAACGAGCTGTGAGATATCCTTTCTGGGAAAAGCTAGACCTATTATATAATCTTTAGGTTAGGGTATGCTAATGTGGATTGTTCATGACAAACATACACACCTGGTATGTCCCATGTTTTGTAGGTGTGTTAGTCTGTTTTCTTCTGCTTCTAACAATACCTGAAACTGGGCAATTTATAAGAAAAGAGACTTATTTCTTACAGTTTGGGAGGGTAGGAAGACCATAATACAGGGAACACATCTGTGTGGGAACTCTACAGGGTTCGCATGACAACACAGGGTATCACATGTTAAGAACAGGCTGAGCAAGAGTGAATTAACCTCCCTTGCTCTCCTTATAAAGCCAAAATAATCACACCCATTACTCCTTGAATGGATCAGTCCATTCAAGACAGCACAGTCTTCACAATCTAATCACCTTAAAGGCTCCACCTTTCAAATACCATAATTGGACCCTCTTAATACTGTTACAATGAGGGGTCAGGTTTCCAATACATGAACTTCTGGGGCACACATTGATCCATGTCAGAAAATCTAGTTTTAGGGAGCAAGAGTAGGTGCAATTAACCACATGGCCTAGTTAAAAGTAAAAAGACTGGCTTCAGAAGGTGGTTGTGGGAGCTTTCCTTATACTCTAAGCTTGTAGCACCTTGCCTGACCCAGCTAGTTCCAAGAGCCAAGGTTCTAGGTTTTTGTTGGTAAGACTTGAAAATGCTTTAGGATTTTGTTTAGTATATCTTTGAAATCATTCTGAGGCTGTTTTATCATCAAATCCTTTAATAACTGCCTATCTGAAAAACAGCTCTATCTAAAATAAACGTCCAAATAAAAAAATTTTAATTTAAGATCATTTGGATCCCGGGTTAATTTTTCCATTACCACCAGAACTAGCTGACCCGGGGGATGAGACATTCTCGTACACTACTAAGGAATTGTTCCAGCGGTCAGACACCCTTAGTGCAGCCTATATAGCACTTTTAAAATGAGAACTCATTGATGCATCCAAGTAGTAAAATAAGTACTGTGTGAGACTTGTTTCAATTACACACAACGGTCTGAAACAGGATTTTTTTCTTTTTAGCTGACTGTCACGGTCAAGAAATATGAATACAGAATAGCCCGATAATACTCCCAGGAGAATTAGGTCCTACTGAGATAGGTCAGGACGGATGCACAAAGGATGAATAACAGTCGCCGGTGTCCAGGGTCACGAGTTCACGCAGGACACACACACAAGCCCTCCGGATGTCCGCAGCAGGGGGTTCTGACCAAAGTGTGCTATTTAAGAAGCCGCAGTCGCTGCCTCCGCGGAGCTGGGCTCGTCCTGGGCTGTTCTACCCGAAGGTCGGCGGCGCTGGGGGCTCGGCCCCAGCCTCCCAGGGCTTGGGATTCCGTGGGAGCCGGGACGCCGTGGGTTCCTCTTGGGTCGCCGCAATCAGGCGTCTCTCCAGGCCCGGAAGCTCTCGGCCCTGCTGCACTAGCTGCAGGAGCTGCGACAAGGTCAGCGAGGACCGGGCTGATTCGGCGGGTGCAGGAGCCGGGCCCAAGCGGCTCGGACTGCTGGGCCGCTCCATGTCGGGCCGCGAAACGAGCACTTCCGGGGGGACTGGGTGCCACCACCGTCGGAGGAAATGAAGGAGAGGCCGTGGGCCATACCAAGTCAGCCCAGACAGAGGGGAGCACTTGAGAACCCTGGATCCGCGCAGAAACGCTTCAGACCTATACAGTGTAGTCCACCCGTGGAATGTGCTTTAGAACAAAAAGGGACCGACGCGTCAAAACTTGAAGGCCTGCAAAGAACGGAATGTGCACGCGGACGCCTGGCTGCGAGCAAAAAGAACCAAGTTTGCAGACCTGCGTAGGCACCGCACCCATGCCTACTTTCATGCACTCGCAGGCATGCGCACGTTAAGGGATTCATTAATAGATCATGGCGGGGGATAATCCCCGTCCTGAGCTCCACAGCACCTGACAGAATAGCTGTGGAGCTGTACCCAGGGGCATCAGGAGTGACACCACCGCATCCCATTTCCTGCCATCTCCCTAAAGAAATGAGAGAAGGTGGAGATAGGTAAGGTATGCTACAGCTGCTCTGGCTTCTTGGAAAGTCAGTGCCAATAATTCTCAGGTTTCTAAGTTACCAAAAGCTAGTCTGATCTGGTGAAAACCATCTTAATCAAACTGATCAAAAGCTAATTAGTATTAAACGGACAAACTGGCATCATGTGTCTCCTGATGTGAAGCACTGAGAGGATACATCTCTTTCATAGTATTCCTGCCGAAAATGTTTACCCTAAATCTAATCTTGAAGAAATAAACAGACAAACCAAAGTGAGAGACATTCTGCAAAATGACTGGCCTGGGCACTTTACAGATGTCATTGTCATAAAAGCAAAGAAAGAAAGAAAAAGAAAAGGCTGAGGAACTATCCCAAATTAAAGGAAATATAAAAAGTAAATGCAATGTATGATCCTGAATTGGATCCAAGATGGGGGGAAAAATCAAATATAAAGGACATTAAGCCTTCGGGAAAATTTGAATATGATCCATGTATTAGATGACAGTATTATATCCATGTTCAATTTCTCAAGTGTGATAATTGTAGTTATGTGGGATAATGGTCTTGTTCATAAGAGAAACATTCTGAAGTATTTTGGGATGAAGTGTCATGAGACAGAGAAAGCAAATGTGGCAAAATTTCTAAGAATTAGTGAATCTAGTTGAAGGTTTGAAACTTTTCAAAGTAAAAAGTTGGGGTAGAAGAGCAGTGAGAGTTTGAGAAGCCAGTCTGGAGGAAACTGACCACAGTGT